AATATCCCTTTTTTAGTTTTTTCTTCTTTTGAATACTTAAATGTAGATTATTTTGAAAAATGTATTGAGCTGAACATTTAATAATAGCTCACACTCCAACCCTGAGTTAATTGTACATATAAATAAAATATTTTTTTTAGCTACTGAATGACATTTCTTTGGAAACTTTAAATTATATATTTAAGAGCATTAAAATGCTTTATTGATATTTAATGGAGCTATAAAATTGAGAGATTTGAAATGCGTTTGACCTCATTTGGCTCTGAAACTATTTCGTTCGATTTTGGTTGACCAAATTTAGTTGGATTTTCAACTGTTTTTAGCAGTTCATAAAATATGTAAGCGTTTGTTGTACCCCACCCCCCGATCGGGCTTCCCCCTCGAGCCCTCTTTATAGTGGCTGGCATATTTTAAATGCATTTTTTTTGGCTTGTTTTCGCTTTTGAACTTCATGCAGTGGCTTTTAAATAAATGCTGCACTTTTTTGCGAATCTACCAACGTGAAAAAAGATTGTTTAATTGTTTTAAAATATTTGTGGGCATGTGTGAGGTGGGAAGAGCCAAGAGGCGGTTGATGGTGTGTGTGCTGTGTGGCGTAGGGTGAACTGAACTGTGTTGTTGCTTTTTATTGCGCAAATAATTTATGCATGTGTTGCCTCTGGCCGTGCTTCCCAGAGCTACTGTGTGGTGTTATCGAGGATTGCGATTGGAATGGGAAATGACTGCAAAAGTCAAATTGTGAGGTTCACCATTTGGGTTTTTTATCCTCTAGCTAGAAAAACACAATGGCGTTTGATATTGGGAATGGAAATGCGAAGCAGCGAATTTGTTTTGATTTTTTAATCGATATGTGTGCCATTCGAAAAATAAAATTGATGTCTCTGGTAACAGGTAAAATAATACCAAGGCTATAATTAATATTGTATAAATAAAAATAGTAAAAAAAAATATGTGCTACTTAATCAGAAAGTGTGTGTCGAAGAATATTCCATATCATTCTCAGAAATCAAAAAATATGTAAATAATATGTATTTAAAAATGTTCTGCATTAAGGAACAACTTTTAAACATTATTATAAATTTAAATTTTTTTACTAGATATGCTAGAATATAATTATTTTTCATTATAATTGAAATATCACAGTATTATTTTAAATTTATTAGTATTATTTAAGCAATTTTGAATTGAGGAGCAAAGAAGACAGGTTGGTGATATTTACCGAAATTAAAATCAAAATATATTTGTATCGATAATTTTATCGATAGGTTTCCTAATGAATACAACGAATTTATTAATTACTGTTAGGTCATCCTTCTCTTGGAATCAGAATTAGGGAAATATCGTTTCTTTTAAAAGTCCAAATTACTGTTAGGTCATCCTTCTCTTGGAATCAGAATTAGGGAAATATCGTTTCTTTTAAAAGTCCAGATTGAAAGAAAGAGAGAACAGCAAATACATTTTGATAATATATAATTTGATAAGGATTACAATCAAGTTAATAAATGGGTAAATTCGTGGCATTCACAGACTTCAGTTAGTTAATCACAGCTCTGTCATATTTAGAAATTGGGGGAAATCATTCGAACTGTTGAGCCAGCATTTGGTGGCAACCACTTGCGTCTGACATACGAATATGGGTCATCAAAATGTTGTCCATGGCTCAACAGTTGAGAGTCATACGAAAATCGCATGACAGTTTCACGCATCGCTATCGCCATCTCACGGACTGCAAATTGCTTCGTATTAATCAACGTCGGGGCAGGACCCGCACATGCCGCAGGTCCTGTCCAACGCACTGGCCACCAAATGTGTGTTCTGTCGGTTTGTTCAGTTCTCTCTATGTGTTGGTGTGCGTAGGTGTGGGTGTGTGCGTGCTTGTTGGTGCGTAATAATTGCTTGGCCATAGGCTCAGCGTCAACTTCACAGATACACTTGCACACACACACACACGCATACTCACGCACAGATACACCCGCGCACACACGCACACCCACCTGCCATAGATAGTTCGTGTTAGTCAGTCATGTGATTAGCCGCACACACATACGAGTGCGAATAGTTGTGCTTGCATGTATTCGTGTGTGCTTGTGGGTGTGTGTAAATACATATGCATGTGTGGATAGCCGCCATAGTGTCCTGGAGCCTTTAGCCTAGGGAGTGCACGAAATTATGCGGAAATTGTTGCATATTTAAGTGGGCACGCGTGAACAAATGTTAAAAACTTGCGCTTGTTTTGCGTAGACGTGCGACAGAACATTTTAAGCGGTCTCCCATAAAAGTTGATTGTATGAGATTTTCGGATAAAAGGGTGGGAAAAACAAGTAGGTATTAGGGAAAAATTATTATATAGAGTTTTGATAAGTACACTTTCCTTAAGTTGTTTTATCTATAGACGGAATAAAAAGCTCTTATAATTAAGTATATGAAAGAAGTTCAGAGTAGATTTGTCTAAAGCAGACAGTCAAATTACTGCGACAAGTTTTCAAACAGAGAAACATAAAGATAAAATAGACAAGTATAATCCGCGGAAAATGCTTTTCAGGAATTAATGCGTTGTTAAATGTGAAATGTCTTCTAATTTAATTATTCCATTCTTTTTTAAAACTCTCTGAGACCTTATTTTATAAACAGTACAAAAAAAAAGGATTAGACTCTTCTTTTTGATCAAGAATATGTACACTTTCCTCAACCTTATTTATTCCTTTTTAAACTTTCTTAATGCCATAGGATATCAAAATGTTTGCTCTAAGCAAACACAGCTTGCAATTTATGTAGTGTTGTAATTGATCATTGTCTCTTTGCATTTCCTGTGAAGTGCAATTTAATTGATTTAAACCAATTACCAAAATTCTGATTTGCCAACAAATCTCGGCCACAATTCAATAACCGAGCAAAACCGAAAACTCAACCCCAGCAAACTGAGCAAATTCAACCGCAAAGAGCACATTTCAACTTGAATTTAACAAAATGATAAATTAATTTTCGCAATAGTAGCTGAAATTGAAATGCATAACTTAGTTTATTTTATTATTTTTTGCTGTTATTCTGTTTCTGTTTCCTTTGAAATCATTTGACCGGTGCACAAAAACTTTGAGTAATTGCCAAAAGAAAAGCGCGCAGAATGAATAAAGCCAAAATGAGAGCAGCGAGCAAAACCAAACCAGAAAAGCATAAACTGAACTCGGTTTGTTAGATTGTTGTATTACCCATAGAATACGAGCATAGGTATGTATATATATAGGTTTCTCTCCTCTGGGCTTGTAACAAAGCCAAACTCTAACTATTATTGGCACGTTACGAGGCAGCTGAGGAGGGGGCGTGGGCGAGAGAATGGAAGAATGGCTTTAGCAAGGGTCAACTTACCACACACCCAAACACACACACACACACACACATGAAGGCACATACACTCGCAGCAGCGAAACAATTGCTAATGTACAAAATATTTCATGATTCTGCAGTTGGCTTTTCTTATTATACCCCGTACTCAGCAAACGGGTGTTATCACGCGTATAAGGGAGGTTAAATTAGTTGGCCACACCTTATAAAATACATTAGATATATCATACATCAGATACATCAGAAGATATATAACTGTTTAAATTGGGGAATATGAATATGTCCATTTGGTTGACACCCGGCTTAAAAATTTAGGCTGGAATAGCATATTTATTGGTATGACTCCTAAAAATATTATATCTGTCCCTTTTTTTGGTATTTATATCTGCTCAGATTTCTCTATATCTATACATGTTCCTTAGTCATGACGACATCAGAAAAGAAATCACAATATCTCAAAAATATATCTAGGGATTTAGGCACGTTTTAGTCGTGTATTTAAATTTGGCCATACCTTTCTTTATATACGTTTTATGATATTACGAAGTCAGCTGTTATACATATGTGTATTAACGTGCACATATACGTATGTGTGTACAGGATATTTTCTAGTCGTGCATTCACTACTAGACTATTTTTATTTCTTCATATTTTTCTTAGCTGACTTTGCTTTATGCCACACTACACTTGCATTCTTTTATTCATTCATTTCATTCAGTTTGAGTTTAGTTTCTGTTCCCCACAGTTCTGGACTGTTCTCAATTCTGTTCCACACTCTTTGGGTTCACTTCGTTCGTTCATTTACAGCTGAGTTCAGTTTGTTTGTTGCCGGCTCGTTTCCACAACATTCACACCAAACAATGGCAAAAGCAATGCTAAAGTGACGCGGTTTTGCAACTGTGGCATTGTTGTGGGGGGTGTGGAAGCGGAGTTGGAGTTTTGGGGCCTGGGGGTTGGCTGTAATGAGGGATGTTGAACTTTTAGCTTGGGACGGGTGGGGCTAGTTGGCAACGACGACGTCAGCAACGATGCATTCAATTGGTTTAAGCGACCAATGCGCTAAAAAAAATAAATTGGTCTTATTAGTTCAAAATAGTTGTTAGGACTCCTAGAAGCTGGTTCTTAATGCAATTAGGAAACTATTAATAGATTGAGATATAAGTTACATTTCTTAATCGAAATCGAATGCAGTATTTCCAGGAAATGGTTAACAGACCGATGCTTAAAGTAATTAATAATTAAAGAATAATGTGAAAAAGTATTACTTTTGTGGAAAGAGTCATACGTAAGGAATTGCGAATGAATTGAACTGCTCATAATACTTATTACACTGATACAAAATATAGTTAACAAAAAAATGTATAGGTTTTGATATGTTCAAGATTAGTTTATTTAAATCGTGGACTATTTTTGTCTCTATGTAGTGTCTCGAATCATAGTATCCAGTCTGAGGCCAACCACATTCAGTATACATATAATTGATCAGTATTAACAACCGAGTCGATATAGCCATTTTCTGTCAGTCTGTCTGTTTTTCCATTTGATTCTCCAAACATAAATGTTCTTGCTTGTTAAAACTCAACATAATTATTGATGTGACGTATTGGAAAGTCCAACAAATTAATTAAAGAGGTAAACTTTTCAAAAACTATAACATTCAATTTAAAAATAGTTTGTACACATTTTTGTACATATATATTGTCAAACATTTTCTATAGAAAAACTCTTTTAACATAAAACGCTTCAGAGTTCCATGTCCATGTCCATTTTCCTTTGTCCACACAGCTCATCTCCCAGCATACTCACATGCCTCACAAAGTTGCATGTAGGTCATTCCACAAGAAAAAATTAATGATTTACTTTTGCAACTTTTGTGTATAGTTCTTATTCTCATTCGAGTGCCAGTCACAGTGGGGAGAACAGTCATCTAATAGCCTGGCAACAACAATAGTAGTTAGGGCTACAATATACATGCATATATATATATTGTATATATATATATTTGCTTATGTGTATGTATACTTACCATGTACATAGCACGCCAAAAAGAAACGCGCTGTAATGAGACTTGTCCATTTGTGGTAATTAATTTTAATGTTGAGCAGCGACAACGTTGGCAATTCTGTCGACCACAAAGCGATGTCAATGGACATTGGGCGTCGTCATTTGTGCGGGTCGTCAATGGTGAACCAAAAAAAATAAAAAATAATACAAACAAAAAAGTAGCTGAAAAACTGAGCAGCCGCAACGACAAATTGAAATTAGAAAATGGCGAACAGCCAACTTGGCAGCTGAAATTGGTAACTGTCTCGTTGCGGCCACTGTTGCTGGATTAGTTCTATTTGACTGAGGGAGGGCAACACTAATTAGTTCTGGCTGTGAACCAGAGCACCTGCACAGTGCCTTCATAATTAATGTAAAATTAAATTACAAAAAAAAATTTAATAAATATTTCCGGCTAGTTGACTTTTTCCAGTCATAATCATATATTCATTTATACATATAAATATGTGTATGTTTTTTTGCCTATTCATGTCGTCAAGATTTAATCTTGGTATCAATTTGTCGAAGTGTGTGTTACACTTCATGTATAAAAAATGGTTGCCTTGCGTGCTGTTGAATTTTCGTCGGCAATGAAGGACATGAAAGCCTTTTGTTGTAAATGGGGCAGGTCCGACTAGAAAAATTTCCCTTTTGCCCTGAAGTTTGTTGTTTTTGTTGTTGTTGTTTTTTTTGTGCGTTTTGTGTGCGCTTCGCTAGTATTTCTTCACCCATTTCTCGAGTGGATTTATTGTTACGTGTAGTAAATATTTTTCTTACCCATTGTCGTATTCCGTTACTTTCTTCAGGCTCCTCGTTCTGCTGCCATTTTCAATTTGACTTTGCGACCAAGGTTTTGCGTGTGCCGCTTATTTTTTTTTTTCTTTTTTGGTTTCTTTGCTTTTCCTAGTATTTGTCTATCTGTCCTACCATCAGTCTGCTTGTACCTCTGTCTATCTGTCTGGGCCCGATATTTGTTTGTTTGCTTGCTAGGTTGTTTGTTAGGTTGTTTTGTTGAGTTGAGGGCGTGTTAATGGCCTAGGCGTACGAGTGCTTGACATGTTTTGCGATGAGTGTTCTGTGAGGGACTCAAAAGAATGAAGAATAAGAAGAAGGCATAGCAAGCGAAGATGTACTATTTGTTGAGATGATTAATGGTAGAAGGGAGCTGGTGTGAAGTTAAGCTTTTAGTAGGTGCTCCTGTGGGTTAGTGGAATATAGAGAAATTGAACAGAACGAACATAAGATGATTGAAATGCTAAAGTATAGTGTTTTAAGCGAATAATAACTACATTGAAGTCTTAAATGAGGGTTGTAAGATTTTTTGTAAGCAACAATTGTGAGAAAGGACACTCCTGGACTAAAAATTGCAAAATATGGTACATCATATGCCAAGGAAAAGTGAGAGTGCTCTTTTCATTTCGTGTCATCTACATGAACTCAGCAGAACCAATTCTCAATTGAAAACAGTTCACAGTGTACCTACAAACGGTGAATATACAATATTTTGCACATTACTTGAAAATCATGAAAATCGCATAGAAAGGCCATGTTGTTAAGGGAAGAAGAACGATTAAGATATGAAAAAGCGAGTGGTTACGTTGGCAATTATATAGCAGATGGGTTAATGAGAGAGTTTTCAAGCCAGTGTAACGAAGAACAAATATAAAAATGTAAAAAATAAAAAAGGCAAAGATATATTTCTTTTTATATGTATGTTCATTTTTGTACATATACATGTTAATTTTAAAGCAATATTTGAATCCCATTATGCCTAACATAAATTTCTAAAAATATAAGACTGACTGGTATTTAAAGAGGGGAATTTAATTTTAAAGGCTTACAAGTAAATCGTTTCCTAATAGGTAAAGCAAGTCTAATTTGTGTTAAAGCCATCTACAAATCAATTATTAAATTTAACATTTTAAATTCCAGCGAACGTTTGAATTGATGCTAATCGCGAATTTTCAAGAGAGTTTAAGCATTTCATATCGCTGTTCAACGAGCCATTAATAAATTCAAATAGTCTACATGAAAACTTAATTTCACGTGCTCTCTCACACCAACTCCAAAAAACACACCAAGTGTTTCCGCTCGTACGCCACCCTGTAGTTCCATTGGTTTGGGAGCACGTCATTTTGCCAGTTGCCACTTGAAATGTTTGTCCTTTGGCCAAATAGCACGTTCCAAATACAAGAACAACAAATGCTGCTTCCCTCTTTTCGCCCCACTGCCGCCTGCCCCGCTTCACACTCCCTTTTTTTATGTACTCGAATTTGTAACACTCTTTTTGTAATCCATTCGTGGGGTCGTTTGGGCTATGAGACCAGCTCGGGCGACAGAAATTCGTCTCATCGCACTTGTCTGCCTATCTTCATGCTGCCATCGACTCCGTTTCTGTTGCCTTCCTTAACTATCCTGTGAAATTCGTGCATTTTATTTCAATTTCATTCCGATTCCATTTTTGAGTTAATGACTGCAGGACATGCAAAGCAGCACGACAGCCCATGGCTTTCTTCTGTTTTTTTTTTTTAAAGACTTTCAGCCCCATCTTTGTTATTGTCAGTCAGCGTTCCCGTTTTGTGTTTCCCGTACCCCTCGTGGTACCCGCCACATGCCAATTGATTACTTGCGCCTTTGGCTTGCTATCGATGATATTTATTGACAAAGTTTTTGGCATCAAATAAATATGCGCTGCTTTATGTATACATTTTATTTGTTCTTAACTACATAAAGTTCAGGCTGGGGTTATGGCCGTTTGTTTTGGCTACCAAATATGCATGAGTCATGCATAGAAATATTTTAAATGTGCTCTTGAGTTTTGCAGTTTTAAGTAGAGGGAAACATTTGTCTATAGGGTGTTAATATATAATGTCGATAGTTTCTGTAGAGCTAGAACAACATAGTTAAATTTTAAAATTATTTTGTTAATGATTTTGAAAAATGTGTTTTAGATATTCGGAAAAACCAACAAATTGTTTATATGTGCTCAAATAATAAGTTGTATTAGAATCTATTCAAAGCCTGCAGCCGTCACATTTATGTGGTTGTGATTTACTTATTTGTTTGTTTATTTATTTTATTAATTATTATAGGGAGCGTATATACCTTAAACATAAAATTATGTGGGATTGGTGAGAATTTATTATTATTATTTTTACATATTCCGTGACAAAATAGTATTTGTTCTTAAAATATAGTCTAAATGCAAATGTTGGCATCGATAAAATTTGAATTCAAGATCAATATATTGGCTTGTCGATTAATATTCTATAACGTAGAATATCAAAAGTTGTACTCTCCGAAGCCACCAAATTTTGCAGATAGTTGAAAATCTTATATGAATCCCAAAAGTGTGCTTTAATTATTTGCTTTATGTAGTCGAAAGCGAATTGCAGAACTGGCCCACACAACCTATATATTAGAAATACTTAAATATTTTTGTCGTATTCTAAATACTCTATTTAAATATGTTTTTCGAAAACAGTGTGTGCAGTAATAAATTGCTTTACATGGTATCATTATGAAGTGCTGGTCTAATTAACCTTAAAAGACAGCTAAAGAATAATAAATATTTTTCTGTCGCATTTTAAGATATTTGTCAAGTACTTCAATTTGATTAGCTAGAATTAGTTAGGTCCTTAGAGCAACTGGTCCTATTATAGTGGTGTGAAAACAGATTAATTACTTAAATAAAGTATCTTTTCGCCAGCTAACAAGTACCCTTTTCCACATAAAAAGCACAATAAAGTGCGTGCAAAATATCTTGACATTAGCTACAACCTAGAACAGCTGCTCTAACCTAACCCAACGAGCTTTGTTGCACCATAAACCAACTGAGGGCAGCAAACAGGGCTAAAACCGTAAAAAACACACACACTCACACACATACGAGTTACAATGCAAAGTTGGGGGTCAGACCCAATGGGAAACCTTAGCAGTTGGGCGACGGTCGCAACGGAGCGATAAAGCGACGTAGGTCGAGACGAGCTGCAAACCGGAAACAGTTAACAACGGCTAAGCCCTTGGCCACTTACGGCTGTTAAATGGCATTAGACAGCAACTGCGACGGCGACGGCGACGGCGACGGCGACTGCGAGTGTGACTGTGTCTGGAGGCGTGGTTGAGCCGAAAGGGGGTGTGCAAGAGGTGCGAATTTTATTTTTGTACGCGCTGCTTACGTCATTTAAGCCATTTTAAATACATACACGATATAGGTATATTTTTAGATAGGGCAGCCAGGGATGCTAGGGCTAAACTGACATTTGACCTATGCAGCATGTGTGTTAAGTGCTGCCATCGAAAATTAATGACAAAGTAATGTCAGTCAAATGGATAGACAGGCCCCGACAGACAGACAGACTGAGAGACGAACTAATAAGCAGCAGCAGCAGACGTTCTGGCTGGCTGGTAGTCAGTTAGTATATGGACAAAAGCGTAACATCAATTCAACCCACGACCAACCCCAACTCCAGTTTCAATCCCCAACCCCTCCCGGCCAACTCTAGCAGCGCAACCCAGTCAGTCATCCATCTATCCATCCATCCATCCCTTGTCATGTCAGAGGCTCAGACGAGCCAGCGCGCTGCCTTGTCTCAGGGCTTATTGTTGCTACGGCAACTCCTTGTAAAAGTTTAGCGCAGCTTTTCCAATTGTTGTTGTGCTGTCTACCTTTGTTTCAGTTTGTCGTAGCCTACCCCCTTCCAACCTCACCCCTACCCCCCACTGGGTCCTTACATTGGCAGCTACCTGTGTAACCTTTGCGCATACGGAAAATTTCGCTCATTGACGTTTTGTGCCGCCTGTCGCTTTGAATAAATAACTGACGTGACGCAACAGACACATTACCCAACTGCACACACACACACACACACACACACATAAACAGGGATACAGTTACAATACTAAACAATCAAATGGCACTACGCCGCTTACCTTTGACAGTCTAATCGTCCGGCTGACTGGCGGACTGACTATGCTCGGCAACATCATCAGCAGCAGCATCTAAGCCCGACCCCATCCCAGTCCTGGGCTGCTTCGATGCCGACCTAACCCACCGCTTGGCATTTATGCAAAAATTGCCTGCCTCAAGAATGAATGTGAGCCTGCTCTAGTCCCCGTCTATTTACTCTCGCATTTGA